TATATATATATATATATATATATATATATATATATATATACGCCGGCGCATGTCGCGAATTGAGAACAATGAAATTTTTTTTAAATTCTATACCGTAATCATACCGCACCGTCGCATGCGATTCCGATGAATCGCATGATATTTTTATCTCAATGCGGCTACGCTCTCGCATAAACTGTTTTGCACCAAAATTTCATCATAGCAGAGAGCTTGGTGATTACATCGGAGCCTCGAATGAGCGCATCGATTTCCCTTGTGCCACGACGATATGGTCGTTAATTCTCCATTGCGTGGCAAATTCTATTTCAACGCGAATCGTTTAAAAAAATCGTTTAAAAAGAGACAAAAACGTGTCAAAAACGTATTTGCAAGTTACATTTTTATCTGGAATAAAGAATAGAAATTATATTATACTTTTATCGGGCAATATTACGATTTGCAAAGGATAGGTGAAAATTTGTGTAAAATTTCGAATTGTATTCATTTCTATTATTGCGTAAAGGCAATACGATACAATCGAGAGAGTTAATCTGGTCGATCCCTTGCGCAGAATCCCGTTCGGCCGATTTAATGATTATTCTCATGCGAATGAAATGGGATCGACGAAATGCGTGTCTCGCAACTAATATCCAATAAAGTTTCGAAAGTTACTGGTATCTAAAATAAATCCACGGCAAATCGGACGCCGTCGTTGCAAAAGCGATCGAGTCGTCATTTATTTCAGTCCTTTCCTCACATCTTGGTAAGTAGCATTAAAAATTTGCAGTTTGCATTACTGATGATCTTATGACGTTATCAGATTACGATATTTTGAGAAAATGCAACCAAGAGAGTAATAAGAACCAAAATAAATCAGATCAAAACAGAGAATCAAGAGTAACAATAAAAGAATACCAAAATAAATCAGATCAAATTATAATTATAACCGATTATAACCAGCAAACATCAAATTTTATCTGATGATCATTTAAAATGTTATTCAGTAAATATATGTTGTTTTTATAAATCTTGTATACTGCACAATGATATAAAAAAATCAGTAATATTAATATTATCAATAATTTATTCAATAAAGAACAGTCGATTATTTTGCGCACTAATTATCATTATTATTCTCAATAATATATGGTAATTAGTACGCAAAATATTTCAGTAAAGAATATATTTGCTTTATAATTGTATCTATCAGAAAATCATATGTTTTGTCGTCATTTAAGCTATTTTCAGCGATATGTAACAATACTATTTTTATATTTATATATACGTTCTGAATATCAGGTGAAACATCTTCTACTTTCAATAATAGAAGCATCTGTCTCATTAGTTCACTCAATATCAACTAATGAGAAAGAGAGAAAGAGAGAGAGAGAGAGAGAGAGAGAGAGAGAGAGAGATTTATTAATTATAAAAAGTTGTATAAGATGTTTATTTGATGAGTACTGGAATCATATAAATGATTGAACATATAAATGGCTAAAAATGACTTGAATAAAACCAAAACGTACGATTTTTTGATAAATATTTGATAAATAGTTATTTGCTAATTCAAGTATTTCTATTTTTTTATTGAAAGCTAACTAAATTTTTTCGCTATTCATTTTCTTTCTATATAGTCTTAAACGAATTTCATTTTCTCGTACCATACTCTAAAGAGGATTAATTTATGTTCTTCAGTAGGAAACAAAAAACTCATCACTGATCATTGACCAAAT